TAAAAGTTATTTTTTTAATATCTTATGGACGACACTCACGGTCAGATCAACTGATCATTCCAAGTGATCAGTTTAAACCAGGATTGTTGATATTTTTTAAAATATCGGATTTTCGATTTATCGATACATAAACTTATAGGTATATAAAAAAAATCCGATATTGATATATTCATAATATGATATATCTAAAATACCGATATTTTAAAAAATATCAACAGTTTTAGTTTATCTGATCACCTGATCATTTGAACTGACCGTGTGTGTCGTCATTACAAAGTATGGAAGTCATAGAAAGTGTACAATAAGTTTTCTTTGGTTTTCAATTTTTTACAAAACAGGTCCTAAAACTTTATTTTTTATCAATTTAAGTTTTGATGCAGAATTGATTTGACAATTTTTTTTTACTTTATTTTACAACAAAAGTATGAGTGATAAAAGATAAGGTGGTAAGGCCTTTATAAGTAAAAATAATAGATTTTCAATTTTTATTTCAAATATTTTCCCATACAGCATATATTCTTTGAGATAATAATAAAAAATAGCATGAAAATGTCTTAATTGAACCACTAGTCCAAAGACCACTATTATAGATTTTATTGTAGTTCTGTAAGTTGTTTTTTTTTAATTTAGGTTCTACGCGGACAAATAAGCGGGTAATATATAGTAAGCACAAAAATAATTTTTTACGAGAAGAAATTATAACGATAACAAATTAAAACGAAAGTCATTTTGAATAGTCTCACAGCCATCAATTGGTTCATTATATTAATTAGTCAATAGGTTCATTATATTAATGAGTATTTCCCCCCTCTGAGGCAATTTATGGGGGAGGCCTGTTTTCAGCAGCGAACTTTAATAGACTGTAATGAGTATTTAATTAATTGGCACTAAATATGTTAATTGAAGCGATTTGTTAGTTAAGGACAATTTTAAGTATTTATAAGGCGGTGCAGTGTCAATTCACTATGTATCGAACATCGATAAAACGTTGGTGTAGCCACAATACCCTTATAGTTTCGCCATGTCTGTCTGTCCGTCTGTCCGTCCTCGCTTAATCTCTGTGACCGTTAGCACTAGAAAGCTGAAAATTGGTACCAATATGTGTATCAATCACGCCGACAAAGTGGTAAAATAAAAATTGGAAAAAAATGTTTTATTAGGGTAGCCCCCCTATATGTAAAGTGGGAAGTGATTTTTTTTTAATTTCAACCCTAACGTGTGATATATTGTTGGAAAGGTAATTTCAATGATTTCGGAAATAATCGCTCCAAAAGTAAAAAACAATGTGTCCCCCCCTCTAACTTTTGAACCGTAAGTTTAGAAAATATGAAAAAAATCTGAAAAGTAGAACTTTATAAGGACTTTCTAGGAAAATCATTTTGAACTTGGATGGAAACAACAGTACCCACTACCGGGAGCAGTTGCAGGAGCGCGGAGCGCTGCTGGAGCGCGAACATAATGGATACCCACCTTTAAACTCATAAGTGGGAACACTTATTATGACGGACGGGAAACTACGGAACCCTACACTGAGCGTGGCCCGACACGCTCTTGGCCGGTTTTTTTTAAAGAGAATAAGGGTGACAAACACACAGTCTATCTGATGGTAAATAGATGCTGTGACCCATAAACATTTATCCTAGATTAAGAATCAAATGAGAGCCGTGGTAGCTCAACGGCTAAGACGCGAGTAACACGGGTTCGAATCCCACCGGCACCAATAAAATTGTTAATTGAAATTTTAAGTGCTGATTTACCACGTGCTCGACGGTGAAGGAAAACATCGTGAGGAAACCTGCATGTCTGAGAAATAAGAGAAAAAAATATTTTGAAGGTACGTGAACTTTGCCAACACGCAATGGGGCAGCGCGGCGGACATTTCCTTGCCCTAAAACCCCTTTCAGAAATTAGCGGGAGGCCTGTGCTCAGCAGTGGGACGTATAAAGGCAGTAAATACTTTAAAAATTAAAATGCTGATGCGTTGTCACCTCTGGGGACTAAGATGGAATGCCTCGTTTCCAATAAAAAGGGTTTCCGGTTCTCTACACTCATCATACGAAGCACAGCAGCATTAAGCTGCTATTTTAAGCTGACATTCTTTGAGAACGTGGTCCTGGGACCCGGGACCAGCTCATCCAATCGTGCTACAACTAAAATGTAGCTGCAGTACGGGTCTACCACTTTTAAAATGTGTATGAAATAATACCAAAGAATATATAAACACATCGGAAACTATTTGACAGGCCTGTTGGTCTAGTGGTTAGTGACCCTGACTGCTATGCCGGAGGTCGTGGGTTCGATTCCCACCCAGGACAAATGTTTGTGTGATGAGCACGATCATTTGTTCTGTGTCTGGGTGTAATTTATCTATAATATTTATGTATTTAGAAATATATAAGTATGTTTATCAGTTGTCTAGTACCCATAACACAAGCTCTGCTTAGCTTGGGACTAGATGGCGTTGTGTGATATTTGTGGAATATTATTATTGTGGGGTATCTATACAGTTTTCTCATCTGGTTGGGTTCTATAAATATATAATTATAAATGAAAATGAAAAGATAAATATACATAAATATCAATAACATAAAATAAATATAAAAGTACATAAATAAATAAAAGCCCAACCAGATGGAGGCCCTCGGCAGGGGAGACCAAACGGCCGAGGGTTAGGGGGAAAGGGAAAGAAACCGGCGGACGATGCGGGCGGTATCGAGGAGCACCGCCTTCTGCATTTGAACCTGGAGCGGTCCGCCACGTAGTCCCAGCCGCCTCAGATGACCCGAGAGGCTGACTGGGATTAGCCCGTTTGCAGAGACGACTACAGGAATAATTTCGGTCGGCAGACCACCCCACATGTCGGTCACCTCGTGAGCCAGGTCCAGATATTTTGTTTGCTTGTCTGTTTCGGCTTTCACGAGGTTCTCGTCATACGGAATGGTAATGTCGACCAAAAATATCCTTGACTGTGCCCGGTCCATCAGCACAATATCAGGCTTATTCGCAAGAATAGTCCTGTCTGTGATGATAGCCCGGTCCCAATAGAGCCTGGCGCGATCATTTTCGAGCACGGCTTCCGGCAAATACTTGTAATACGGCAATTTCCGATCCACGAGACCGTATTTCAGAGCGAGCTCCTGGTGTAGAATTCTGGCTACTAGGTTGTGCCTGTGCAAGTACTCAGAGTTAGAAAGCGCCGAACAACCGGAGATAACATGCCTAAGTGACTCACCGGGATAGCGACAAGCTCGACAGATGTCGACGGTGCCATCCTTTAGGATGTATCTCCGATAGTTGTTGGTCTTAATAACCTCATCCTGTATTGCACAGACAAAACCCTCGGTTTCCCCGAAGAGATCACCAAAGCGTAGCCAGTGGAGGGAGGCTACTGTGTCTACGAAAGGCTCATGTAGAGCCTTGTAGAACCTCCCGTGGAGCTCCTTCTCCTTCCATACGGTCTCCCGGTCGGAAATGCTCTGCACTGCCGGGTCTTGCCATTGCTCGTTGGCTAAGGATAGAGGGGTAAGTCCTTTATCACAAGAAATGACGTCCTTATAGAATGGATCATCCGATCTCGCCAGGAAGTAATCACGGAGGCTGCACACTTCGCGATTATGCATGGTGAGCGCGCTCAAGAAGCCACGACCACCATGCTTCTGCGGCAAGTACAGCCTCATTACCGACGATCTCGGATGATGCATCCTATGGGACGTCATGGTAGTGCGGACTTTTCTATCCAGGGCGTTAAGTTCAGTCTGAGTCCACCTGAGTATGCCAAAGGTATACACGAGGACAGGCATGACCCAGCCGTTATATGCGTGTGCCTTATTCACACCGGACAAAAGGCTGTTAAGCACTTTGGTCAAGCGTGCATAAAACACGTCGCAAACTGACTGTTTCATACCAGTCTCATCGATACCGATGTTTTGTGACATACCCAGGTATCGGTATGTTTCGGCCTCGGAAAGGGTCCTTAAGTTGACGGGCATAGATAAGTCTACGCCCTCAGAGTTAGCAACCCTTCCCCTTTCAACATGGAGGACCGCACACTTATCCGTCCCAAGCTCCATTCCAATGGAATTGCTAAATTCACAAGTAATGTTTAGCAATTCCATAAGATGGGGGCGACTGGAGGCGAATAACTTGAGGTCATCCATATAGAAAAGGTGGGTCACTTTTGTCCCTCCTTTCCGTAGCTGAAATACCCTCCCGGAGCCCTCCAGTAAGGTACTGAGAGGGTTCAGAGAGAGGCAGAACCAGATTGGACTCAGACAATCGCCCTGGAAGATACCCCTTCTTATCCTTATGTGGTTCTCCGCAGCCATCATCCGCTCGCCCAGATGACAAAGGATCGTACTCCACTGCCCCATACACTGCTCGAAGAAGTCTCTCACTGTACAGTCTATCTTGTACAACTCGAGGACTCTCTTTAGCCATGTATGGGGCACCGAGTCGAATGCCTTTCTGTAGTCTATCCAGGCGGCGGAGAAGTTCCGACGGTTGCGTTTCACCACTTTGCCAATGACCGCGTCAATGAGGAGTGGTTCCTTGGTTCCACGACCACCGCCCCGACATCCATTTTGAGCGCGCGACATCACCTGATTTGAGTCCAGGTGACAAGTGATTCTCGCGCTCAAAATGGATGTTAGTGTCTTGTATATGGTCGGTAGACACGTGATGGGGCGGTATTTGCTCGGGTCTGTGGTACCCTGGTCTTTAGAAACCAAATGAGTGATCCCAGTAGTGAAGAGGCTTGGGAGCGACTTCTGGTTGAGAGCCTCTTGAAACTGTCGGGCGAGCACAGAGTGACACACCATGAACCCCTTCAGCCAGTAGTGATGCAGCCCGTCAAGCCCCGGACTTTTCCAGTTCGGGGCCCTACGGACCGCCTCAGCTACGTCATCCGGCGTTATGATGACGGGGTCCATGGGCGTAATACCCGCACACTGACTCGCCACAACTTCCGTCCAAGGGCCCTCGCTGTGGTTTACGGGCTCTGATCACAAGCTGCGCCAGAATGCGACCGTGTCGGCCTGATTTGGCGCTGGACCCGTTCCACTTACCATTGGTCGCTCCAATGATTCATAGAGCCTCTTCTGATCACTCTGGAAGAGATGATTCTGGTTGAACCGTGTCGACCTCTCGGTATATCGCCGAATCCGTTTTCCCCAAGCAGCGATTCTCTGCTTCAGATCATCTATGCGCTCCGTCAGTTTTTGCGTTATATCCGGCTGGGACAAACTGACATTTGCCCCAGCAAACGCCATCCTGACGGTGCGCCCAAATCTTGGCCTGTTGTTGCCTGATCTGAAGCATATCAGTCTGCCGATGAGAGCTCTAGCCTTTGCGATACTTTCCTCAATTCTTCTTCTCCATGCTGGGATAGCGCTACTATGGCCAGTAGCGCGTCCAGCCGTGGAAACCTTGGCGCCTATGATACGGCAGACTGCCAGCGCGGCGCCAAAAAGAATTGAGTCCGTCTCGCAAAGGTCCCGGCTGGCTTCCAAATAGGTCACCAGCATTGGGTTCAGAGCCCTCACGACAGCCCGATTCCGCTTGCTTAGGGCTATGCGGGAAAGTCGCGGTCGATTTTCGAGAGGCGTACTGCACGTTTCCACAATCGCCTCTTCCAATGTACTCCTCATATGCTCTAATTCCAGTTCCTGGGCGACTGTTCCATCATCGTTTGGATCAACCACAACTGGGGTATTCACGGCGGCATCCACGTTTGCGGGTTGCTCTACCATTTGTGGCGCCGCATCCTCAGCTGTAGCATTCTCATCATCATTATTATTATTATTATTATACAAAGTTATCAGTCAGTTCAGTATCACAATCAGTTCGCGTACTGTCAGTTTTTAAAATTCAGGGTAAAATGTACGATGATTTATCATGATTTTAAAAGTGCACTCACTTCACAATAATTTTTTTTTATTGAAAAAGGGCACTCAGTTCACCTGATAGTAAGTGGAAGCTATGGCCTATGCCATAAGCATATAGCATATAAGCTATGGTTATGTTTAGATTATTCAGATGGATCACGATTATATACGGAAACCTGTTGCTAATAAAAGCAGAAATACGAAATATTGTTGCGTTCCTCAATGTAGTACTTACGGAGATACGGGAATAAGTTTTCATTTATTCTCAAAAGACAAAATTATGAAGAAAAAATGGAAGACTGCTTTAAGAATAGGCAAGCCAATTTCACCATCGATGAGAGTTTGCTCTCATCATTTTCAAGCTTCAGATTTTTTTCCAAACAGTAAGTATAATTATTTTTTAATTTTTTTATTGTTAATAATTTATATTTATATTTATTTCCTATGTTATTCATTTAGTTTACGCTAAGGCGAGTTTCTCGTCAGATAACGAGATTATTTATTGTTCCAGATTCTAAAAGGCAGAAGTTGTTTCCTTATGTCGTACCGTCTCAGAATATTCCTAAAAGAAGTTCTGATAAAGAAGTACCATTAGCCCAAGAAATAAAATCAATTGCTCGAGAAAATAGGGCTGATATTAGACACAGCAAATCACCATCACCATTCCACTCCGTAATAATTCTTCACCAGAACGCATTGGTTTTGTGTATCCTGTAGACGCATTAATTACATCGACTATTGACAACATATTATTGTCTTAAACAGCAAAATGCCACATAAATCTTATTTGTATTTAATATTTATGTTTTTCCCTGACGTTAACTGTTACGAAAACTGTCAAAGTGTCGTTCTTAGACAGATTTACAATTTTGACACTAGAGGCGCTAGTTAGAATCTTTGCATCGTCAATAGACATCTACATTTATCCTCGATTAGGAATCAAAACGCAGATACGTTGTCACCCCTGAGGACCGAGATGGAATGCTTCATTTCCAGTAAGAAAAGGATCTCCGGATCTCTACACTCACCATATGAAACAGTAGTATTAAGCTGCTATTTTACGCTGGTATTCTGTGAGAGCGTGGTCCTGGCCCGGTCGCGCCGACCCATTCGTGCTGCAATCATAATAAAGCTGCAGCATGGCCTTACCACGTTTAAAATGCTTTTCAAAATATTATCCATTTTAAATTATGCTCGGGGTTTCTGCGTGATAAAATGATGAACGTAGATGCCTATGGGCCACAGCGTCCACTTACCATCAGGTGGGCTGCGCGCTCGTTTGTCACCCTTATTCTATATAAAAAAGCAGTAAATAAATTGGTTTCCATATTATAAATAGTTGTATTTATGAGCTACGCAACACTTTTATAGTACCCCATATAACATATAAACGTTTTTGCATAACACACGTAGACAAAGCATAGCCAATTTGCCTTAGTGCGTAGACGTTAGACCCATTAGGAATATATTAAGCACGTGGATCGATATAGTATTTTGAGGTTGGGGGTTTTGTGTAGGGTGGCCAAGCGTTTTGTGTTTCTTTTTACCATTCTATGCCAGCGCTAAACCGCAATTGATGGTAAGTGGTGATGTAGCCTAAGATGTTGAAGAGCACTTAACAAAAGCCTATTCACTCTTGCCTTGAAGACAAAAAAAAACATAAACACTCACGCCTGTCACCCAGAGGGGTAGGCAGAGACTACAGACTTCCACTTGGCACGATCCTGACATACCTCTTTCGCCTCCTGTACATCCATATATCTACGCAAACACGCTCGTCGGTTAAGGGTACTCCTAATGTGACCTATTTTCAAAATATCGCCTAATATTTGGTCGATGAAGCTTCTTTTAGGGCATCTCTTCCCAACTCTGCCGTTCACATTCACACTTTAAATTTGCCTTGAAGACACTCACATTGCAATCGGATGGAAAGACAGATGCTGGTAACTTATTCCACTCCTTTGCTGTACACATGACGAACGTCGTAGCAAACCGTTTGGTTCGAATGCGTGGTAAGTCAACAACGAAAAGGTGGAGACTGGCCGAACGTCTGATTGTACGATGGTGGAAGGGATAGGGAGGAATTAAAGGTATGCAATTCCTGTGCATACTCTCCAAAATGCATCCTGTAGAAAACCAAAAAGTTAACTACTTTGTGTTAAATGGAACTTTAATCTATTGCTGAAAGTGTTGTAGAGAGCATTTTCCTGAAACGTCACGCTTAGCAGATGGTAGAGCGCAGTAACAGGCGTTTCATATCCGTGACGCTGGCCGTTATAGGTCTAGGTACGGGATCAAAGTAGTTATAATTCCTGAATCCCTAAATATATATAATTTTTCTATTAATAAACTACTGCTGGAGTGATTTTTAGTGTATTATTAATTATGTGGATGTCTTTCTTTTAACTTCAGGTAAATACACTACCTACGTGTGACTTCAGACAACACGCAATGGGGCACCGTGGCGGAAATTTGTTTGCCCTAAAATCTTCTCAGAACTAAGACACGAGCTGTGCCTAGCTTTGTGACATACATAGGCATATACTTCCCTTTACTTTTAAAGACGTGATCTACACAAAGCAAATTTTCGATTCTTAATATATCTTAATGCTTTATTTGCACACCAAGTACAAAAATGAGGGTTTAATGCAACAGGGAATTCTCTACCAATGTACCAATCTACCTCCAGGCTAAGCGGAGAAGATATTGTGGGTGCAAAGTGAAGCTAAGTTAAAAATATCTTTGTCTTCATAATATAACCATAACTACTACTCCATACTAAGATACATATTATAAACATAATTACACAAATATATCCATCCATAAAATACACCATAAAAGTCCACTGCTGGGCATGTGCCTTATCCATTGTAGGGGGAATGTACCTTAATCCACACTTGGCAGGTGGCTTTCGATTGCAGTAAAAATGTCTTACACCCTTGATGCTTCTGCCTATTTTCACAGGGTTACAGTTATTCTATTTCACGAAAACACATTGTGTTAGTGTGCGTAGGCTTCGGGCGCGCTCAGTCGCAATCGCGCGTCGAACGAATCGCAGTTACACACGCAAACGCACCTGTCGTTACACGTCACTACTACAATCAAAGCGAAACCTTCGTCGTGAAATAGAATAACTATAATTTATAACTTTATATTTGTTTCTTAGATCGTATTATCTGAAGAAAAAAATTTATACGATAATATCGGGGTGGATTTAGAGAAATTTAAATAATCGTCAGCGCCATCTGTATCTATTTAATTTAATTTTAAGTTGTATACCATTTTTCCGTTTTGTTCACAAAACATTTTAAAATTGAAGAACTTATTAATCCGAATTAACTGTAAAAGTCAATTTTATAAGGGTGACAAACGAGCACACAGTCCACCTGATGGTAAGTGGATGCTGTGGATGCTCGATTAAGAAGTGTGGCGTGGATCGTGGCCATTCCCCGGTCGAGCCGAATTTATCCTCAACCAAATACATTTATCCTCAACCAAAAATCAAAATGCAGATGCGTTGCCAGCCCTGAAGACTGAGGTGTAATGCCTCGATGGAAAGCCAACTGGCTAACAAAACAATGAAGAGTGTGTTCAAAACAGCTTCATTAATACCTAATTCTACCTGCGCATAATAATGTATGCTAAATAATTATTAAGATTTCTTAAAACGCGAAAAGCATGGCCACTCTAGCATTAATTGTAGTCGTTTTACTGCCCCTGTAATTTTCACCTAAACATAAAATATAGTAAGAAACTACGATACGTTAAAGTAGATTACGTCATCGCGAAAGGAAGTCGAATACTGACATAGGGTGTGCTTTTAAGACTAAATTATAAATAGTTACTAGCCAACCGACTCGGGTTCACATGAGTGATTTCTAGATTTTAACAACAGCGACGCCTACCGAATTTAATTGAGATAGATTCATCTAGGGACCCTGAAAAAAAAATAAAAAAAAAATAAAAAAATTTCATCAAAATCGTTTCAACCGTTAAGGAGTCCATTGATAAACACACGTATTGAAGAATTATGTATACATGTTGTAGGTTTACGGTGAAAGTAGGTTTTTGATCAAAAACCTAGGCTTTTTGTCAGTCCGGGAAGAAAACAAAGTAACTACTTTATGTCATCCTCATATTGGCAATGGGTCGGCCATATAGCTCGAAGAACCGACAACCTATTGGGAAGAAAGGTTCTCGAGTGGCAGCCTAGTAGCGGCAGGCGAAGTGTAGGGCGTTCCCCCACTAGATGGAGTGATGACCGGGAAAGATATGCAGGAAATCAAGGGATACAGGCGGCTCGGAACCGTTCTTTGTGGCTTTCCTTTGGGGAAGCCGTGTTCAGCAGTGGACCTGTGAAGGGCTGTAATGATGATGATGTTATCATAAGCTCGAGAAAATTGAGTTTTTTTTCGAGAAATTGTGTAAGTTTTATTTTTTATGTTGGTATTTTAAACAATAATATTTTTTAATTGTTATAAAATATGTCGAGAAACCATTTTTTATATGGCAACATGCGGACGTGCGACCGATATAAAAATTAGATTTTGTATACGAGACTGTATCACACACACACACACACACATATGTGTGTGTGTGTGTGTGTGTGTGTACGTGTTTGTTGTAGGTTTATAGTGAAATCAGGTTTTTGATCAAAAATCTAGGCTTTTTATCAAGAACGGGAGGAAAACAAAATTACTATTTTATGTTATCCCCATATTGGCAATGGGCCGGTTATAGCTCGAAGAAACGACAACCGATGGAGAAGAAAGGTTCTCAAGTGGTAGTCTCGTAGCAGGCAAAGTGTAGGGCGTCCCCCCACTAGATGGAGTGATAACCTGGTAAGATATACAGGAAGTCAAGGG